TTTCGCCCTTGCCAAGCCCATGTCCACGGTACAGGCATGTCTAGAATCCCAGGAACGGCTGCTCCTGCCTAGAAACCCTGACTCCACCCAAATTGACAAAGACCCTTTTACCTCCACTTGGCTGTCCCAGTCTAGAGATTCATTCACAACAACACCAGGAAAATCGGGCCAGACCTATGGAGAGAAACACGCTAAGTAGCGATGCATGGACAGTTTCCCTTACATAGGATTTCCGAAGAAATTGTTATATAAACCATGTCCTAGGAGCGATGATACTTTGACTATCATGTAGGATTCACGGAAAAGTGAATTCCATAACACGTTACATTACTTTAAAAGTTGTTAACTGTATCAACAAATATTGTTTGAGAAAAGGAGAGCGTCTGACCTCAGAGCCCAAAAAGAAAACGCCAGAAATAACATACATAGGCATGTGACCCACTAACTGTGACCCACCCTCAGGCTACAGACTAGTGGATCATCCCTTAGGATTATACCTTTCCCCAGACAATGTCTCCATCATTTGGGTATTTGATGAAGATGTCATCCTCCAAGCCCCGAGTGAAGGCAGGATAGGGCTGTGTCTCATTGCCAGAAATGGCTGGATCCTGAGATCAAAGCATAAGTCAGTTGGGAAAACCAAACCCAGGGAATGAAGAGAAACAGAATAAAGGAAAACTCCTCCAGGGCGAACTCGCTGGCTTCTACCTGAACTGTAGTCCATCTGTGAGTCCTGGGAAATACAGAATTCTTACTGCACTTCAATTTATCTACTTGCAACATGGAAATAAAGTATAACTCTTTCTCCACCAAAGCCCATACCTGCTCCCAAACAGACCGCACACATTCACATCAGGACTCACCAGAATGAGGATGACCCGCATCCCATCAGCTTTCATGCGATTGATCAGAGCTGGAAACCTAGCAAACTTGGGGCTGAGGGTGAAGTCCAGCTGCCGCTCCATGTAGTCGATGTCTGAGTACTGCACGTCCTGCGGGAGGACACCGGGAGCTGAGTGGCTGCTGCTGTACACACCCAAGCTTTACAGGAGAACAACCCTCCACCACCCATGGTGGAATTCCAGATAGCTTCTTGTTGATGCTTTCAAATCCCAGCTCTGCCATTTATTAGGTACAGGTGCTGGGAAATTCACTTAATTTTTAAAATGTTCAGTGATCAAATAGAAAAAACCTTAAGTCAGCATAAAATAGGATGAGAATGCCTCTCTAACACGGCTATTCTGAGGATACATAAGTACACTGGATTGGACAGTGCTTTGTAAACTGCCACTGTCAGGTGTGATTGTGATGACCTCCCCCAAGAGGCTTCCCCTGGTATCAGTGGTTCATGCTTAGAAAAAATATTGTTAACTACCCAGGGCTAATACAATGTGGATGATAAATCTACTGCAAAACATATCAAAACAAAGCAACAATGTATAGGTGCTTTGGAATACCCAACCCTGAGGGAAATCAGATACAACATTCTTATGGAGAATGAATACTGCATTTCACTATCCACTAATGGAAACACTATGTTCCACTAATGGAACTATTGTAAAACAATAGAAATGTAGAATAAAATTAGATATGCGATGGTACACTGGATTAATTCTCTGATGACTGGGTCCCCTCCCACTCTCCAGTGAAAGATAAGGTTTATTTATATATGTTTGCCCTCTGGAAACCCATATCAGGATCCGTGTATTCCATCAGTGATAGCTCAGAGTCGATAGGACACTGTGCTATAGCACCAGGGCTGCAGGAAATGAGGTCATATCCACATATACGATGGTCTGGCTGGGGTTAGTTTTTTTTAAGAATTAAGTAAAAGAACTGTGGGATATCATTTATTCTTATGGAACCAAGGACGTTTTGACTAAATGTTTTGAAGACATGTGAAAGAAATGGAAGGAAGCATGAGATAGCAGAAAAAGCCCTGGAGCCAGCCTATCTCCCCCTCTGCCAAGTCATGGTGAATCTTGAGCTATCATCTCTAGAAGATGAAAACAAGCACCCTTACCTATATAACTGTGCTGGGGTGAGGCTAACTGTGATATTGTCTGAAAAAGAACATTATGTTTTTATAGAATCCCACAAATACTAGACAAATGAACCCAGACACAGAGGCACCTGGGTTAGTTACAAAACTCCAGAGCCATGACTGAGAACGTACATAAGGGATCTGGGCGGCCACCATCTCATCATACAAGCTGGCGATCTCAGAGTCGTTCTGGTATCCATAGCGACACAGCTGGAAACCCAAAGACCAGTAAGGTACCATCACAGGCCGGCCAATCAACTAGAAAATAGACACAAAATATTAGTCCTCAGAAAAGAGACACCAGATTGAAGTTTTACATCAAGTAATAAGAATATTTTTCCATGACCCAAGCTAGACAACTGACTAATTGAAATCCACATCAAAACTGACAGGATATAGAGCCACTGGGATACTTGGAGAAAGCTTTCTGCTAGACTTGAGCTCCTTCTTAAAGAGTATGGAAAAGCTGATTTTACTCCATTCCTAGAGACACTGTAGGTAACTCATTAAGAAGCCCAGAATCAGAGACAAATGCCTGGCTTAGCACACAGGCTCCAGTCCTGCTACCTGTGTGACTTTAGGCAAAAATTAAGTAAACTCTTAGTGCTTCAGTTTCATCTCTAAATAAGGGTATAATAATAGCCTCTGCCTCAGAGTCCTTTTGTGAGGACTGAAGGAGTTATTATGTGCGAAGTGCTCTAACAGGCAGCAAGCAATAAATCAGTGATGTGCAGTAGGTAGTACATAAGTATTTGCTGCTGCTGCCAAAACCACCATGGTCACCAACACCATCACTATTTTCACCATCACCACCACTACCACTGTCATGCCCTCCACCACCATCATTACCATCATCATTACCCTTCACTACCATCACCACCACCCCACTACCACCCCCACCACCATCCCCACCATCACCACTATCATCACAACCACTATCACCAACATCACACTCCTCACACCACCCCACTGTCACCACCATCACCATAACCACCATCATCACCATCACTAACACAAACACCATCACCACCACAAACACCATCACCACCCCCACCATCATCAGTATTATCACAACCACTACCACCACCATACTCCTCACACCACCTCACTGTCACCACCACTACCACCACCATATCCACCACCACCCCCATCATCATCAACATTACCACCATCACCAACACACCCATCAACACCACCCCCACCACTATCACCACCATCACCAACACTACCACTACTACCACCATCATTATCACCATTCCCACATCACTGTCCCCAACGTCAGCCCCTACTGCCATCATCACCATCACCACCACCATAACTACAAAAACCACCACCACCACACTATCACTACCATCACCACCACTGGTACCACTATAACATCTGCTCTTCTGCAATGCTTACAGAGGCTATACATTTAATGATAATCTGAATGTGTTTATTTTTTCTTATTCTATAATCTCTCTCCAAGAAAGACCAGTATTTCCAGTTATCATATGAGAGTTACACTAATCAATGTGGGCTCTGGCACCCAGAATGTGCTGTATAAGTGCTTGATAAACAACTGGATTTCCCCCTACCTCCGTGTACTGCTGGGTGACAAGCTCTGGAGTTGGTCCCAAAAACACATAAAAGTCCAGAACTCCCCCTGTGGTACGGTATGTCAAGGCAGGCAGGGGCTGGAACGTCACGTCTGAAAATGAAGAAAAATGCCAAGCCAGATGGAAACCTTCTACATCACGAGGGAAACCTTCCACATCACCCCTGAAATCCACACATTCTCCATCTTCCTGCACCCTCCCTATCACAGAGTGGTAAGAGCAGGCATTTTCTATCATCCACACACAGAACTGAAGAAGTTCAGTGGAAGTCTACAGGTCCCATTTCTGGGTTTGATTCCTTTTGGTGTACTTTACTATATTTTGTCATTCTACTCTTATAAAATTATTTTTACATTTCAACTTTTATTTTGGATAAAGAGGTACACATTCACATTTGTTACATGGGAATATTGCACGATGCTGAGGTTTGGGGTAGGAATCGTATTACCCAGATAGCAAACATAGTATCCAATAGGTAATTTTTCAATGTACCATACACCCTCATACCCCCAGACTAACTTCTCTGACCCATAGTTTTACCCTAATTCAAACTATATAACTGGCTTCCACGAGCTGGCCTCCAGGATATTTGGGACCCATGTGGTGTTACTATCCCTTCTTATGTGATTTTTACCAAAATGAGGGTTGGGTTAAATTCTCTTATCACATGAACCTATACTGAAATAAACAGAAAGGCTAAACATAAAGAAAAAAATAAACACTAATGCCCGTAAAATGAAAATTTTGACTTCAAGGAACAGTTGGGCTAAAAACATTCTAAACTGACTCAAGCATGATTGGTAGCCCCCCAAAATAAGGGAGGCGCTGGACGGCCTTACCCATGGCATTGCTGTTCAGCAGGAACACTCCGTGGGCACTGCCATCCTCCTCCAGCCCCATGTAGTAGGGGTGGACACCATAGGAATTCTTCTTGTACTGGAGAGTCATGGGGAGAAGCAGTAGGAGTTTAAAAGACATTACACCTGAGAAAGAAACTCAACATAAAAGTGTTTGCTAAGATGGGTCTAGTTTTCTCCATGAAGTCAATTAAACACATGAAACAAAGGAGCCTGAGAATTGGCCTACTCGTCTAAAACCAGAATGAGGGGACCAAGTGGAGTTTGGGAAGATGAAGCCCGAAGCCTGAGTAGTGTGGGTGGAGAGAAGCGGAGACACAGACCCCAAATGCTCTGTCCTTACCCCTGGGGGCTGGTCTCGGGAGAACATCCCCCAAGTGTGCCACTCCAAGTCTCTCCTATAGGATGTGTGCTCAGTTTCCCCAAAGCCATAAAGGTACTTGGAGGCAAGGCGGGTGGAGATGCGGATAAACATGTCATTGAAGGTGAAACCAAGGAGCTGAGAGTCCCAACTGAAACACAAAAAGGCAGATTTAAAACAGAAAATGGGTTTTCTCTCTGCTTCCAGCAGCTGACTTTTCAAGGACAACAGAATGCTTGATTTTTATCCAGAACCTGTTCATCTCCAAAACAAAACAGAAACTCAACTTGATTAAAATATCATAGATATCCTCACTAAAAACCCATGAGTTATTCTTCATTCATCTGTTTCCCACTGTCGCTGCCTCCTTTCAGTGGTCCTCCACAACACAAACACAAGCACACCTCACCATCACAGCTGGGACTACTCCACACCAGTGCCGCCTTCCACCCTTGCACCCCTCAGTGCATTTTCTACATAGCACTCAAAGTGATGTTTACTTATTATTGGTTGTCATGAGAAGAGAACCCTCAGCTGTCTACAGGGAGCAGCATCTACTCTAGACAAGGCACCCCATAAACATTTGTTGGATGAATCCTCAGGCACACTCAACTGCCTCAGTAATTATTTCCAGAATGCTAAAGATTTCCCATAAGAACAGGTCAGAAGGAAACAACTCATCCATGGATCTGGAAGTGGACAATGTGATGTTTGGAACCAGGATACATTCAAGGACAATGGACCTGGCAGCAAAGGCACAGGTAGACATCAACTCTGAGCCACACTAGAAGCCACTCACATTATAGTGCCTGTACTCTTGCGGCGAATTTCAATCCCAAATGGATTCTTCTTAATGAGGACATCATAGAGTTGACCCTCAGGGGTGCTGGATGGCACCGTGGGTACGTTCAGAGGAACTGGAACTTCATACCGATTGTTGTTGGGATCATAAATCTAGGCCAGAGGAAATCAATTTTAGGCTAGAATAGTACTCTTGAAACCTATACCCTTAGCAGAATCTTTTTTATTTTTGGACAAGAAGTTCAGATGCTATGTTTCTGTTTACTTTAAGTTGGTGATATCTGAGATTTAATTAATATATCAAATAACAATGTCAGATTAAACATTTTTTCTGTCATTTCTCATTATTAAGGCCTCTATTACATTAATATACTCAATGGGACATTAGTGCTAATGTGGAAAATCATTCTGGAATCAGTATGGTATTTATGAATATGTTACTTTTTACTTTCTGTGGGCATATGAGTATATAAAAATACCTTAAAACCATTATGAATTGAAAAAAAAACCCGTCTCCCCAAAATGAAATCTATTTGATTAAAATTATCAGAACGTCCTTGCTGAAGGTGGTATCTAAACTGACTCATGAGTATCTACTACATCACTGCCTGACACTGCACAAGACAGTAGGGATGTGAGCTGTATAAGGCAGTGTTATGGTTTTACAAAATTCATATGCGAATGAGAAGTGAAATAGAGCAGCTCACAACACCTGGGTGATGTGTGCTAAGGGAGAGCTATGTAGAAGTGCTGTGAGATTCTAGAGAAGGAAATGCCTAACGTTGTTTCTGGGAGACTGAGATGGTGTCCCGGGAGAAATACAGTCTAGAGTATTAAAAGCTTGGTAGGCATTAACCAAACAAAGGAAGGAGATCAAGTCATTCTGCTGAAGAATAACAACCACAAAGGCAGAGAGAATTAAAGGGGGTCAGAAGGAGGCAAATATTTTGGAAAAGCTACTGTATCATCAAGAGGTAGACTAGGCAAATGGTTAAGGCTAAAACTCCAAGGAGGTTCATTCATTTCAAACCCATTAGATGCCTACAACATGCTAGTGCTATGATGTACAAACATACTACAGCATCATCCCTGCATTACAGGATGTACAAAAACTCTGAATTCAGGTTGATGTCAGATTATAAAGAACCTCTCAGGCAATGTGACAATGTCCTGATCACTTTCACTTACTGTGTCAATAACATTACAGCGCTAACTATCTGCCAGGCTCTGTATTAGACTTCAGAAGCACAAAGAGGAAAGGGCACATTCCTGTCCTTGAGAAGCTTAATTTAATAGAAAAACAGACCTAATCTCTAGTCCATCCCTAGTCCTTAAATGCAATTAAATCCTGGAAAGAAATGAAATCACTGCACATTGGTGGCTATTTTATAGATATCTCAAATTCAGTATCCCAAATTGAACATACCATCTTACATTGATCAAGCACAAACCTTTTCATTATTCCTATTCCAGTTAATGTCAGCACTATCCATATTAAGACCCAAGATACCAACACGGTCATCACTCTTGATGCTTCCCTCTCCATTGTCGACTGCTTTCAATTGAGCACCAGACCCAGTAACCCAACTTCCTGAATCTCAAACAGGTGCACTCTTCTCCACCTGCATTCCAGTGTCTAGTCCAAGCCTAAGCCCTCACCTGACCTGCTTAACTGGCAGCCTCCCAACTTGTCTCTCTCTATACACTCTTGCTCTCCCAACCATAAAACCTAACAGTAGCCACAGTAATCCTCTCCAAATGAAAATCAGGGCAGGTCTCATTGTTCCCTCAATTATTTCTCAGTGCTTTCTCCATAATGATCTAGTCTATTGTAGCATGGTTAACTTATTTTAGGGTTCTGTGACCCAGACCAACAAAAGGTAATGGAACTGAAAAGGGTCTAATCACTACCTGATACATGTACTGTGTTTACCTTGAACTGCAGCATTTCATTCTTATGGTAAGTGACATCCAGGCGAAGGGGGTTCACGGGTGTGGAGGGGAAGGCATTGGCATACACGGAAGACTTTAAGGAGATGTCAGCTGTGGCCCCATGTGAATTATATTGAACATTACTGACAGAGTATAGATCGTTGACAAAATAGCAAACAGGGACCCCAGAAGAATTGGATGCCTGAAAAGTAAAGGTAAAGTCATAGATCAGCACAGCACATGGTCTTAAAGTTCTCTAACCTAAACAGGGGTAGAAACATCATTTTATATGACAATAAAACCAGCCCATCACTGATCACTTGGCAATAACATAAATTTAAATTCCTGGTCTCCAAGCAAAATATTCATTTTAAAAAGCTTCACACATGTCCCCACATATTCATCACATCTAGAACATGTCCCTTAGGGAGTCCTTTCTATGGATTTTAAGTAGTTATGTAAGTACTACTGCTATGCTTAAGAAACTATACATTAGGTGTGGAGATTTCCATGCACGTGAACCCCAGCAGCATGGTTACCTCCCAGATGCAGCCACGGGCAGTGCAGTTTTCTGCAGAAGCGCCATTCTCATCAGGGTAACAGTCTATTTTTTCATCATCCCTTATCTTTATATCCCACTCCACTGTGTAGGCTTCTCCCAGGAGAAGATTGATGTCTCTGATAATGGCAACCTGTAGGAATGCAGAAATCACAAGAAATTCATCTTTAGGAGATAGGCCTTGCAAGATCTGAGGCTTCTTTTTTTTTTTTTTAGGAAAGAAAATAGAAATTTGACCAGACATTCAACCATCCATTAAACATATGACTGTAGCTCATAAGAAGAGAACTGCACATTGGGGGAATCTACTTAGCAGCAACAGGGCAAATGTCTCCTCTCTAGCAGAATCTTGTACATAGAATAAAGAAAACAATGTGGTCAAATAAAACTCGTCATGATCACCCCTTATTCTTTTCTGCTCTGACTCCTCTTAGCCCTCTGTGTCTTGTCAGGCAGCCTCTCTTCTGCACTTCCTCTTTAGCATGACACATGGTATCACCCAAAGTGAGCTGATCCCCTTGCTCTCCAGTCTCCAAACCAGTATCCCCCACTGGCGTGGAGTGGTAGAAAGAACACAGCATTAAGAATCATATGATCTGGTTATCATGTCCACATTTCCATAGAACATTGAACAAATGATTTCTTTAATTTTTAATTTTAATGGGTATATAGTAGGTATACATATTTATGGTTATATGAAATATGTTGATTCAAGCACACAATGCATAATAATCACATCAGGGTAAGTCGGGTATTCTGTTTCATTTATTTGGGTTTCAATTTTAGCAACAGCAAAATTAAGAGGCTGAAAAAATCATATATTTCTTTGCATTTCTAACACCCCAGCCTCTTCGTTTCTGTAACCCCAAAGACTACAATTTTGAAACCTTCCTTGATTACCATTCATTCAAATAGTTAATATTTTTCTATATACTTTTCTTATCTTTGACATTTCTTTAAACAGCACTTCCCAAGTTAAAGTTTTCACTTGTCTGGAATAATAAAATCCCATTCTAAAATTATCATCCTTCTCCCAGTCTCCTCCCAGTCTAAACCATCTTGTACTTCCCTGTTCAACTAGTCCCCAAAACCCACTCCCACTCCCAGAAATGCTTACACACAGTAGCACAGCCTTCATTCAAGGATCAGCGTGAGGCCCTTTAAGAATTAAATCAAGCTGGTACCTAAGACCCTCCAAAATCTGACCACAAGATTCCTATGCAAACTGGCCTCTTTTTCAAAATTGAATCTTATCAATGCTGTTCCAGTCATATAATTTTCACAGTCTAATAATGTAAGACTGTTCCCCACTTTCCTAACTTTGCTGTTCTTGTGCCTCATTGTAATTATAATTCTATTTGAGGGAAAAGGAAGTGAAATCAGTTAGAGAGAGAAGAACATTGAGAGGCAGGGAAGGGAATAAGAAGGTAAACACCCAAGTCATTCTAGCTCTTGCCACCTCATTTTATTCCCAGTCCTCTAACTTCCCCAAAACAGGCCTCAAGGTTGCTCTGTTCTTTTAAGACCCCATGCAACTTTGGAAAAAAGGAACACCATAATACTATGGAGAATTCTCAATACACCATCTCAACAAAATGGGGTTTTACCTTCAGGTTAGAATCGTAAGTGACTGTAGGAGAAGTCTGACTTGGGACACCATTGTGTTTCACTGTAACATTGCTAGGTTCCTCCATCCCAAGAATTTTAATCTCATTAAATGCTAAATTATTGGGGTCCTTGTAGGTTGATTGTGAAATATTCACCTCCAAGCGGTTCTGCAAAACAATTAAGTCCAATTATGCATAAAGGTATGCCTGTAATACACAGATTCTCAATTCACTCAAATATTCCATTCCAGAACAGATACCCCCTACTCCCCAGGATGCCTCTCTGCTTTCTCTACTTGTGTGTGCTCAAGAAATGCAAGATTATTTTGATAATCCTCTAATTTGAAACAATCATAAAAACACACAGATATTTTTACACTGTATTTACAAACGCTATTTGTTATATTAATGCCTTCTTTTGGAAACTCTGATGAAATCATAAATAGAAATGTGTTCACTCATAGCCAATAATGCATAGAAAGTTACAAATATAATCACACATATACAATATACACAAGCACAGATGTGCTAATGGTCAGTCCAAAGCCCACACCTAAGATTCAGAAAAATATGATACTCACTTGAGTGACAGAAAACTCACATAACAGATACACTTTATTTTCCACAGTATCTGCAAGTGAGAGAAAGTCAAGTCAGATTCTGGCTTGCCCACCACAGAAAAACAGATTTCACACCCCCATTCTTTTCCGTTACATCCTGATGTCACAAATGGCAGTATTTCCGTTTCCTTATGGATGAATAATATTCCATTGTATTCATTCATCAATGTACACTTAGAATGTTTCCATATCTTGGCTGTTGCAAATCATGCTGTAATGAATATGGGAGGAGTGAGTATATCTCTTAAAGATACTGGTTTCCTGTCCTCTGGATATACACCCAGAAGCGGGATTTCATGGGATTGAATGGAAGATCTGTTTTTAATTTTTTGAGGAACCTCCATACTATTTTGCATAACAGTAGTAACAATTTACATTCCCACCAACAGTCTAAAAAATTCCATTTTCTCCACACCCTTGCCAGCAATTATCTCTTATCTTTTTTATGATTTCCATGCTAACAGGTGTGAGGGGATATCTCACTGTGATTTTTGATTTGCAATTTCTGTCATTTCCTGATGTTGAGCATCTTTTCACATACCAGTTAGCCACTTGTATGTCTTCCTTGGGAAAACATCTGCTCAGGTCCTTCACCCAGTTTGTAATTGGGTCATTGGATCTTTTGCAGTTGCATGAGTTCCATATTTTTTATATTAATCTCTTCTGAGATATATGGTTTGCAAAGATTTTTATACGTTCTGTAGTTTGCCTTTTCACTTTGTTGATTGTTTCTTTTGCTGTGCAGGAGCCTCTTAGTTTGATGTAGTCATGCTTGCTGCCTTTTTGGCATTTTGCCTTTGCTTTTGGTGTCATATCCAAAAAGTCACTGCCAAGACTACATCAAGGAGGTTTTTTTATGTTTTCTTCTAGGAGCTTTACAATTTTAGCCCTTACATTTAAGTTTTTAATTTCTTTCCTCACAGTAGCCAAGATAAGAAAACAACCTAAGTGTCTATCAGTGGATGAACAGATAAACATATTCTGGGACGTATATACAGTACAATATTTTTCAGACATAAAAAGTAGAACATTCTGCCATTTGCAACAGCATGAATGACTCTGGAGGACATTATACCAAGTGAAATAAGCCAGAGACAGAAAGTCAAATACTGCATGCTCTCACTTACATGTGGAATCTAAAAAAGTTCATCTCTTAGAAGCAGAGCCTACAACAGTTGTTCTGAGAGCCTGCGGCCATGGAAAATGGGGAGATGATGGTCAAGGGTACAAACGTTCAGTTAGTAGATGAATAAGTTCTGGGGATCCAGTCTGCAGAATTGGTGTTGATGGATGTGTTCATTAAAATAGCTGTAGTAATCACTATACTATGCCTACGTATATTAAATCCTCACATTGTCCACCTTAACTATATTCAATCTTTAATTGCCAACTAAATACTTTACAACTAACTAAATAAATAATTTTGAATCTACATATTGGATTAGATGGATAAGCGTCTCCATGGCCAAGCCATTGTTTTTCCTTCTCTTTCCTACTGGAACATTGTAAAGATTCGCCTCTGAGGTCTTCCAAGGCATATGCCTCAAGGGAATCTATTTCCTAAACTTGAAACACAAGAATTGTTCATATACTGGAGCCACAAATAGGCTAAAATGTATGGCTAGATGAGTACACACTGGAACAGTATATTCTCACTACCTCACTGGCAGGGGCATGAATTTTATATTGTCAACGTTTGCTCATAAGAATTTTGGGAGGAAGACATTAACATTGAATTAGGGAACAGTCTTGAAATCTTTTCATCTAAGAACCCACTGACAATAAAATGAGAGCCTATTATAGATATCACTGACTAATGGGAGAATTGTCAGACATACAAATGTATTTTTCTTTCATCTGCAGTTCATCTACCACTATCCCTGAATGGTGCAACCAGAAACTAAATACTTCAGTGACTCTTGCTGCTGTGCCTGCTGAGATTTCTCCCACAGCTCAATGACCAGCAGGAGGGAAGGACCATAAGTCACAGGTGCGGGTTTGGAAACAGCAACATGATCGTAACAGCGCTCACCCTTCGTTTGCCCATCATCCCAGAAAAGTTCTCCTTTTGCTTCTTTGTTCTCATCTAGGGCAATGATAAGACCAAGAGGGTTCTTTCGACTGTGGGGAACAAGATTCAAGAGACAAAGATAGGAGTCAGAGAATTTTGCTAACTGAGTTGAGAATATTTCCATCAGATTTCAAACTAGAAAAGACACTAGCAGCAGATGGTTCTCAGAAATGAGAAGTATCACAAGAGGGGAGACTTCTGGTACTAAAATTCCAACAGTCCTGGCCAACGAATGAGGCTGATCACCTGGCTGTTAGTGTGTTTTGAAAAGCAATTCAAAGGCTTTAAGGAAGGACATGAACTACAGTCTTTCAAAATCCATTGGATACGGTTCTAAAACAGCAGCTTCTGCAAAGCTGTTGTGAATCGTGGCTGCTCCTATGTTGACTTCTATCTCAGATGTGAGATTAAAAATGTCATTCTTAGACCTATCATCTCACTCCCTTAGACTTCAAAGAGTTATTAATAATTAGTCAGAGTATAGAGTCTGGGAAAGATTAACATACAAACAAGCAAACAAAGAACAACAAGTGTTGAGTAAAACTGCATGTGGGCTTGAGAGTGATGCTTACGTTTTGGTGGACTTCATTACACATTGTTGAGCTAACTGACATGTAAAGGAAAACCTGAGTCCTGTCATTCACCTTAAGTGGGTGTTCAGTGCAGGCTCTTGCCAGGGCAGGATGTAGCCCCCACGGACATGAAGATTAATGTGGTCAAGAGGGGACGGTAAGGTCTTCCACTCTCCTCTTGCGTTCACATCCACACCCTGTGGGCAGAAGGTAAGAGATGATGAAGGAGAGGAAAGGACCCTCCCTGAACAACGCATCCTGCCAGACATCTCATCCTCCCCTCTGAACTTATGCCTGCTCATCACCCTTCACCACTTACCTGCCATTACCCATTCCGCATTCACCAAGTGCTGCATTAAATCTCGCAAGGCTGCTATCATATCTTGTTAGGGTCTATGCCTTTGCTTCCACCATACAAACTACATTTGCCTGA